CTGACTTGATGGCACATAACAACAACACATTTAATAGTAAAAAAAAAAAAAAAAATCTAAATTCAGGATAATGAGTAAGTATGGTAAGCAAGAAGAATAGGAAATATGAGGTGTATAAAGAAGGCTTTACTTGTATCTGTTATGGATTATTTTCTTAGAAATATGAAATAAACTTCGCTGTATGTCAAAGTCCAATAAAGTTGAATGGACATATGGATTTTAAAAATCCTTATGATTTTGTGTGTTTGAAGTATTTTATAATTTTTAAAGGAAGGTTTAGAAATAAAGGTATATGATAAATTATCAAAATAAAGCTCTAAGTTTAACATGAAACTCACTGAAAAATCCAAGTTTAAATCTGAAGGGTTCAAAAATTCAGTGTCATATATGAAATAAACTAATGGATTTGACTCTGTTTTTATTGAAGTGTCACCACCGCTAACACTTCTTGAAGTGAGAAAGCTGAGTGTGTGTGCTAGGTGCTGTTCAAGTAGGTTTCCATCCATACCTTCTATGTACAACAGAAAGAAAAATGGCCTGGTCCTGTCATCCACATAATTGTTGCTGTGCTTGAGCCCATGGCTGCAACTACTGTATCAATCCATCTTACTGAGGTCCTCCCTTGTTTCACAGACCCTCTACCTTACTGAGTATGATATTCTCCAGAACTGATCCCTCCAAAGTACAGAAGATGATGTATGGCCATTCCTGCTTCTAAGGAGCATTCCATACTTCTTCCAAAACAGATTTGTTTGTTCTTCTGGAAGTCAATAGTGTATTTAATATTCTTCACCAACACCGCAATTCAAATATATCAATTATTCTGCAGTCTTCCTATTCACTGCCCAGCTTTCACATGCATATGAGGCTATTGAAAATATCATGGCTTTGGTCAGGAACACCTTAGTCTGCATATGAGGCTATTGAAAATACCATGGCTTTGGTCAGGCACACCTTAATCTTTAAAGTGACATCTTTGCTAAGAGATGCCTAAGATCTTATACCTATGAATAGCCTTTTCAAAATAAATAGGTAGTTAGACGTTCGGAATATAATCATGCAGTTGTGATTGCCTTGATTGTGGTAATTGTTACACAACTCTGTGAATATGCTAAAAACCACTGACTTGTAGACTTAAATAAGAAAATTTATGGTATGTGAATTAATCTTAAAAAATGTGTTTTCAGAACATTGTTACCACCTCTATCTTTGCTCAATGCAAGCAACTTCAGTATTTATAAATTGGGGAAACCTGGGCTGGTTGCTTAAAATAAAAGGTAAATTATTTTACTGAATTTACTAATTATTTTACTAATCATATTATTAAACTTAATTGTATGATCACCACTTTCATATTCCATGAATATATGTTATTAGAGGTCACATCATGTTTTTCCTCATTTCAAAATCATGACATTTTACTATGCTTTACTTATAGCAGTTTCAAATCAGCAGACATTAATGAAATTATATTTGTACATTTTTATCATGCCTAGAATACTGATAGTATAATCTCTAATGTTAGCTAACACTAAAATACTTGCCTAGATTTTTCTTTCTGTTTAATAATTTTATTCTTAATCTTTAATAATCCTAGTGCCTAAGGCATGTGACTGCTAATCAGGAGGCTGGCAGTTCAAATCTACCAGCCACTCCTCAGAAGGAAAACTGGGCAATCTACTTCCATAGTGATTCCGCCTCGGAAACCCAAAGAGGGGTCGTTATGAGTTGGCTCTGACTTGATAGTAGTTATTTGGGTTTTTTTGGTTTTATGAAGTACAAAGTCAACCCAGCAAAGAGCACAGAACATAGATAATGTACTCTCATAGAAAACATCTTTCTAACTCTGACAACCTACTGTTGTTAGTTGCTGTCGAGTCACTTCTGACTCAAAACAACCATACAACAGAATAAAACATGGCCTGGTCCTACACCATCTTCACAATTGTTGCTATGCTTCAACCCATCATTATAGCCACTCATTGAGGATCTTCCTGTTTCACTGACCATCTACTTTACCAAACATGCTATCCTTCTCCAGGGACAGATCCCTCCTAACTGCATGACCAAGGCAGAAGAGGTTCGCTTCTAAGGAGTATTTCAGCTCTATTTCATCCAAGACAGATGTGTTTGTTCCTCTGGCAGTCCATGGTATTCAGTATTCTTCATCAATTCAAAGGCATCAATTCTTCAGTCTGCCTCAATCACTGTGCAGTTTTCACATGCATATGAGGTGACTGGAAATACCATGGCTTGGGTCAGGTGCACCTTAGTCTTCAAAGTAGTATCTTTGCTCTTTAACACTTTACTGAGTGCTTTACAACAGATTTGCCCAATGTAGTATGTCATTTGATTTCTTTACTACTCCTTCCATGGATGTTGATTGTGAATCCAAGAAAATGAAATCCTTGACAGTTGCAATCTATTCTCCATTTGTCATGATGTTGCTTATTGGTCCAGTGGTTAGGATTTTCCTTTTATTTATGTTGAGGTATAGGCCATACTGAAGCCTGTAATCTCTGATCTTCATCAGTTTGGGCTTCAAGTCCTCTTCGCTTTTAGCTAGCAGGTTGTTATTTATTTTTTTTAAAATACACATTATTGAGATACAATTTATGTACAGTGAAATACACAAAATGAAAGTAACATGGGTCAATGCATTTTTTTTTTTTTTTTTTTTGCAGTGTTCCCTCTCCTCCCCTCCCTGCCCTGGTAACCAACAAAGAAAGTTTCCTTCCATATATATCTTTCCTTGACTTTACACAATAATGAACTGATCTTATATTTGTACTATAGCAGCCAGTAGGTTGTTAATGAATCTTCTTTCAATCCTAATGGCACATTCTTCAAATAATCCAGCTTCTCCCAGATTATTTGCTCAGCATAGAGACTAAACAAGTAAAGTAAATGATATAATCCTGACACATACCTTTCCTGATTCTAATTTACGAGAAAAGACTAGTATTTAAATATTTAATTTATTCTAACAAATTTCTTTCAGTCAAAAAAATATGCCTACTTCTGTGCTTTCTGAAAATATATTAAAAATGGGATATTGCTTTTTGACATTCTTACATTTTCATTTCATTTTCAGGAACAACTCAGAAAAAGAGTGTGAGAATGGCAGTACCACTTGAGGAATATAATCAATTTCACTAAAAGATATAAGTAGACACTCTTGAATTGTTAAATGCTTTGCATCTATATTCTCAACAATAACAACAAAATAAATAAAATAAAAATGCTCATCTACATGAACCAGAATTCATTTACATTGTATTGTTAGATTATCATCAAAATGAAAAAAGAAAAACATTAATGTTGGTTCATTTGCCTATTTTAACTACTTAGTTTCAAAAGTAAAATCTTTTATTGATATGTTTTTTAATATAAAAAGAATAAAGATAATTCAAGTCAATAATTTAAGAACATCTTCTACAAAGGAGTTTTTCTCTTTGCAATCTTTTTTAATTTTGTTTTTCTTCTGAAACAAAAGGACTTTGGCTTAAAATTCGTTTTCTTACTATATATAAAATTGATATTTGTAAAATCAAAATCTTTTTAAAAGCTTATGAAATATTTACAAAACATTATTTTTGACTAGGTCAAATTTTCAAAACATTATTCAATAAAACATAACATTAATAGCAAATTGAACAACATCTTAGAATTCTGTTTATACTAAATATTATGCAAATGAACAAATTATATATACATATAGAGAAAATCATACAATTAGAGACTATATGGAAAATTACAAAATGAAAACACTTCTAAAATACTGAGATGTGGCCAAAGATACACACATATTCCTCACTTATTGATTATCTCTTTATCTGACATTTCACATTTATGACAATAGTAAAAAATCTACTATCCAGCTATATTGAGCATTAACAATGAACGTCTGGCAGTAACGAATGCCAAGGTGAGAGACAAGAATAACGCTGGCTGTGGTAGTTAAGGTTATGTATCAAGTTAGCTGGGTCATGGTTCTCAGTGGTTTGGCAGTTATATAATAATGTTATTTGGGCAGTTATACAATAATGTAATTTGACAGTTTTGAAACGATGTAATCATCTTCCATTTTGTGATCTGATGTGATCATCCTCCATTTTCTCATAAGGACCAGGTTTTTAAAATGTAACCATGTCAATAAGTGAGGACTGGCTGCAAATTTATAGGCTTAAAAATAACTTCAATATTAATGCAAATAAATTCAAAGCAATTAAGCATTCAACTAAAGAAATTAGGAGAAACAAAAACAAATCAAAATCTGAGGAAAGCATAAGTAAGAAAATAACAACAACAACAACAAAAAATCGGAAAATCCATTGAATAAAAAAGAATTACCTAAATTAAGAAAGGGAGCTCTGGTAGCATAGTGCGTAAGGCACTTGACTGCTAACTAGAAGGCTGGTGGTTCAAACCCACCAGCCACTCCTCAGAAGGAAGATGGGGCAATCTACTCCTGTAGTGATACTGCCTCGGAAACCCAAGGAGGGGTCGCTATGAGTCAGGTCCGACTTGACGGTACATAACGACAACAACAAATTAAGAAAAATACAAATTAATAATTATTAATCTATTACTTATTATTTGTGACATCTGCTATTTGAAGAAAAATGTTAAAACCTTTCTCAACTCATCAGAAAAAAAGAGAAAAGAAAATTATGAAAATTTAATAATTTTTAAATATAATATATGTGTGTACATGTTCATATATGTAGCATTACATGTTAGAAGGATATAAAGATGGATGGTTGGAAGGAAGAGAGCAATCACTGGAAGTCTAATTTGGCTATGTGAAAAGCAAATGGCATGAAATGAAATTTGAATTTATTACAATAAATATAATCTTATGCTATTATTTATATATATTATACTTCATCTAAATGGAAAAGGCAGTTTTTCTCTAGAGATTTCCTATAGAGCTCTACAAGGCATATATAGATTATTATACTTACACAACTAGTGATCCATATTTACAATCTTCTTACCTCATATGTTATCTTCAAACTTGACTGTAGTAAAATAGGAGTAAAGTTGGGATGAACTTCTGCAGTCAGCCAAAGACGAAAGGTATCTTTAGGACGAAGAGTATTCAGTTCCTTGTTTATAAAAGAAAAAACAATAACAAACATCTACTTAAATATGCATACAAACAAAAATATTCCATTTTATCATTTTATTGTTAATGAACTACTTTTTCTTAATAAAACCTTTTCTGTGGTATTTTAATAAATATCTTGATGTTCTGATATGTTTCCTTTTAATTTTCATCTTCTCTATTGCTTGAACACAGCCACTAGCTTGTTGTTCTTGTTACATGCCGTTGAATCAGCTCCAACTTATAGTGACCCTATCTATGTACAACAGAACCAAACACTGCCTGATCCCGTACCAGCTTCACTATCTTTGCCATATGAGAGTCCATTGTTGCAGCCACTGTGTCAATCCATTTCTTTGAGGGCTTTACCTTTTTTTGCTGACCCTCTACTGTACAAAGCATGATATCTTTCTCCAGGGAATGATCTTTTCTGACAACACAACCAAAGTAGGTGAGATGAAGTCTGGCTATTCTCGTTTCCAGGGAGAATTACGGCTGCACTTCTTCCAAGACAGAGCTGATAGTTCTTCTGGTAGTCCACTGTGGTGGTTAATTCTGTGTGTCAACTTGGCTGGGCCTGGTTGAGTGGCTGGGAAGCTGGTGGTAGTTATCCCCCGTGATGAGACTGGCAATCAACTCCATGGTAGGATTTACCACAAGCAGCTGAGTAGCTGCCATTGGGTATGTGGTCTGCTTCCCGTATATAAGAAACAGCTTTGGGAATGGTCTCTAGCTTATGGCATGCTTGGATCCTGCATATAACCGAGTTGCTGTTCAGCAGCCTGCCATGCTCTGCTGACCTTGGAACTTACAATGGACTTGGATTGATGGCCTGCCATGGTGTTTGGTAACATCAGGACTGTGCCATTTTATTTGCCAACCTTAGGCTTGTTAGCCTCAGCAGCCAGTAACTGCCTGAGTGAAGAGATGGGCTGGAAGCAAGAGACAGAGCTGAAGCCCAAAGTAGAGGGGCTTTCATAAGTCCCCTAGAGCCTGGCAGTTTGAACTCAGACTTCTAGCCTCCTGAACCATAAAAGAATATATTCCTGTTTGATAAGGTCATCCTATTTGTGGTGTATTACTGTCAGAGTAGCACTAGGTAACCAGAACATCCATGGTACTTTCAGTATTCTTCGCCAACACCATCAACTCTTCTTTGGTCTTCCTTATTCATTTCTCAGCTTTCACATGCATATGAGGCAATTGAAAACACTATGACTTGGGTTAGAAGCACCTTAGCCTTCAAAGCAGTATCTTTGTTCTTAGCACTTTAAAGAGGTCTTTTGCAGGATATTAGCCCAGTGCAGTGCATCGTCTGATTTCTTAACTGCTGCTTCCATTGGTGTTGATTGTAGAACAAATATGAAATCTTTGACAACTTCGATCTTTTCTCCCTTTATCATGATGCTGCTTATTGGTCCACTTGTGAGGATATTTGTTTTATGTTGAGATGTAATCCATACTGCAGACTTTAATCTTCATCAGTAAATGCTTTAAGTCATCTTCACTTTCAGTATGGAAGGTTATGTTGTCTGTATATTGTAGGATGTTAATGAGTCTTCCTCCAATCCTGATGCCATATTCTTCTTCATATAGTCTGGCTTCTCATATTATTCGCTCAACACAGATTGAATATCAAAAAAAAAAAAAAAAAAAAAGAAAAAAACCAAACTCACTGCCATCAAGTTGGTCCCAACTCATAGTGTGATGCCTCCTTGGGTTTCCAAGGCAGTATCTCTATAGAAGTAGATTGCCCATGCTTCTGAGAAGTGGCTGGTAGGTTTGAATGGTCAACCTTCTGGTTAGCAATCAAATGCCTTAGGCACTACGCCCATGGTTCAAGGATACAACCTTAACACACTCCCTTCTTGATTTTAAAATACAATATCCTCTTGTCCTGTTTGAACGACAGCCTCCTGGTCTATATACAGGTTCCTCATGAGCACAATTAAGTGTCTCAAATTCCTGTTCTTCTTGATGTTATCCAAAATTTTTTATAATCCACACAATAGAATGCTTTTGCATAGTTAATAAAACACAAGAAAATATCTTTTCAGTATTCTTTGCTTTCAGCCAAGATCCATCTGACATCAGCCAGGATATCCCTCATTTAATATCCTCTTCTGAATCCAGCCTGCATTTCTGGAAGCTCCCTGTCAAAATACTGCTCCAATCATTTTTTAATTACCTTCAGTAAGATTTTGCTTGCATGTAATATTATTGTTCGATAAGTTCCACATTCCGTGGGATCACCTTTCTTTCGAATGAGTACAACTGTGGAACTTTTCCAGTAAGTTGGCCAGGTAGCTGTCTTCCAAATTACTTGGCATTGACAAGTAAGTGACTCCAGTGTGGCATCCATTTGCTGAACTAAGCCCCTACCTTAGTGTAACTGATAACAGGGAGTTAGGCTGACTGGGTTGAAATTCGAACTCTGCCACTTATTTGCTGTATGACTTTGGGCTCTATGACTTAAACCATCTTTAAATAAGGATAATAGCACTACCTACCCCATACAAAAACCAAAAACCCATTGTCATCCAGTTGATACTGATTCATAGCAACCCTACAGGACAGAGTAGAACTGCCCCAATGGGATTCCAAACCTGTAATCCTTATGGAGAAGACTGTCACATTTTTAAGCTGTGGAACATCTGGTGGGTTTCAACTGTTGACCTTTCAGTTAGCAGCTGAGAGGTTAATGCAATGCACTTAGGATAGTGTATGACACATGTTGTTAGGTGCCATCAAGTTGTCTCCAACTCATAGCGACGCTATGCATAGTGGAATGCAACACTGCCTAGTCTTGTGCCAGGCTCACAATGTGTCTATGTTCTGACACACAAAACAATCACTGCTATGCCTAAACTACCAGCCATCTTCAGGCCTCCAGGTTCTCAATGTTTCAATTCACACTTTCACAAGTTATATAATGAAATCAATTACTTTATAGATAGTTTTTAGTAGTGTCCTACTGCTTATAATTATTTTTATTTTTGCAGTGTTCCCTTCACTCCACTCCCACCCCTGGTAACCAACAAAGAAAGCTTCTTTGCATATATAAACCTTTCCTTGACTTTTACAATAACGAACTAATATAATATTTGTCCTTCCATGATTGATTTATTTCACTCAACATAATGTCCTCTAAGTTCATCCACGTTATGTGGTGTTTTGCAGATTCTACATTATTCTTTAGTGTTGCATAGTAATCCATTGTGTATATGTACCATAGTTTGGTTATCCATTCTTCTGTTGATGGGCACCCGATTGTTTCCATCTTTTTGCTATTATAAATAGTGCTGCAATTAACTATTTCCTATAATTTACATTAAAACATGCATCACATAAATTTATACACACATCCCCCATATACTGTATGCTTCAGCCACTGATTCTATGCTTCTGTATCATTAATAAGAATATCTCTCTATGATTTTTTTATAAATTCTTAATTATCTGTAAAAATACAATTTATATATTATGTTTTAGGAATATCTTCTCCAAATTTGGCTACCACTATTCCAAGAAGATTTAATCACTCTATGGTATTCTGTAAATTCTCTTCTATAATATTTAACACACTATAATATAGTTATTTATTAATGTGGTATTAAAAAAACAAAACCAAACTCACTGCCGTGGAGTCGATTTGACTCATAACAATCCCTCCTTGGGTTTTTGAGGCAGTATCTATGGAAGTGAGGCAGCTGCAGGGATCCAGGTGAGGAGAGGGATCTTAGGCATGCCCAAAGCAGCAGGGTGTGGGAGTGGGAGAAAGGAGAGGAAAAGGCCCAAGGACCGGGACAGATGAGGAGTGAGCTGCAGGGATCCAGGTGAGGAGAGGGAACCCAGGCCACGCCCCAAAGTGGCAGGGCAGGAGGGCAGGAGAAAGGAGAGGAAAAGGCCCAGGGACCGGGACAGAAGAGGAGTCAGCCGCAGGGACCCAGGTGAGGAAAGGGAACCCAGGTACGCCCAGAGCAGCAGGGCAGAAGAGCAGGAGAAAGGCAAGGAAAAGGCTCAGGGACCAGGACAAGGAGTTAGCTGCAGGGATCCAGGTAAGGAGAGGGAACCCAGGCATGCCCAAAGCAGCAGGGCAAGAGAATGGGAGAGAGGAGAGGAATAGGCCAAGGGACTGGGATAGAGCGAGGAGTCAGCCACAGGGATTCAGGTAAGGGTGGTACGAGAGGTTTCCAACAGGGAGGCAAATCTGTCTGTCGGTTTGTCCTACCATGATGACGTGTTGATGTGAGTTTTGAGGCTCAGCCACTGATGTTTCAAACCCAGTGGTGTGCACATGGTGCACAGGTATCAGCCCAGCTTACAGACTGAGATAGACTAGGAAGAAGAAAGAGGCCATCCACTTCTCAAAGAATTGGCCAGGAAAAACCTTATGAATAGCAAAGAAACACTGTTTGATACATTACCGCACAAATTTATGAATAGGCCGGTTAGGTTAGAAGGCTCTCAAAATAGGACTGGGAAAGAGCTGCATCATCTGAGCAAACCCAGCCTTACTCCTATGGATAAGATAAAGCTTTCAAGACCTCCATTTGCTGATGTGGCACCACTCAAATTGAAGAGAAACAGCCGCAGACATCCTTTCATCATCGGAACATGCAATGTACAAAGCATGAATCTAGGAAAATTGGCAGTTGTCAAAAAGGAAATGGAATGCATAAAAATTTATATCGTCAGCATTAGTGAGCTGAAATGGACTGGTTTTGGCCATTTTGAAGCAGGCAACCATGTGATCTACTATGCCGGGAATGACAGTTTGAAGAGGAATGGTGTGGCATTTATCATCACAAAGGATGTTTCAAGATCTGTCCTGATGTACAATGCTATCAGTAACAGGATAATAACGTATGCCTACAAGGAATACCTGTTAATACAACAATTATTCAAATTTATGCACCAACCACCAAAACCAAAGAAGAGGAAATTGAAGATTTTTATCAACTTCTGCAGTCTGAAATTGACTGAACATGCAATCAGGAT